GATGTCGACTGAGCCCACATACTTCCCCGCTTCTGATTTCCCTTCACGGATCGTGAGAAATGGAAACTTTTTATGAGTGGCCCGATATTCATGAAACGGTGAAAATTCGTTCTAAAAAAGTTAATTGGGTTACTTGAGGGGGGAATTTGTCAGAAAAACACTATGAAGGTTTTCCGTGATGAGGAATCTAACGGTGATAGCAGCATTTCCAAAAAATGCACAGCAACTTTGGGGTAGCAAAAATTTAGGGTGGACCTATAATTATGAAACGCAGTGTGAAGACTCTTCTTCGGCGAAGGCGGCTAGGAATCTCACACATCTCAACATCTTCGACCTTCTGCTTATTATGAATCACCCCGAGACATTTTGCACGAGAAGCAGTTGCGAAAATCGCGCTACATTCGAGAGACCATTTCCAGTAACACTTCGGTACCACCTTTTCAAGCGACAATCCCTCAGAAGATCAGAATGTTTCCCATACCTCTTCAAAGTGACGATGTGCGCAGCTGTTAAATTTCAAAACCGAAAAATACTACTCGTGAATAACCCACGACACGTTGTTGCAAATTGACTGTCGGTGATTGCCGTGCATTTTTTTTAATTCCGTGGAATTCTTCAGCTGTGGTTCCCTCACAGTCTTTTAATCGGACGGGGCCCGCCGAGTCATTGCTTCTTCATCCGCACAGGTTTTGCTATGTTGCTGCTGGAGTTGTGACAGAACGTTCTGCTACAAATTTCTGAAAAGTAGGGCTATTTACTGTGACGGCTGGTGTACTCAATCATTCACTGAAGGCGGTCGCGTAATCCTCTACAAAAATGGAGAACGACGAGAAAACTATCTTCCACATGACAGCGCTCTCGCTTTCTGCCACAAAGCATATCGTGCAGGGTATCCCTGGGTCTAGCGAGAAATTACATTCTCTTCGAAAGCAGCTGGCCCATATAGTGATGGGCAAGGTTTAATCAGTGAGTCGTAACACTTGGCGTTATAGTTGGTTGAGCTCCAGCACTACTAGAACGCATGTATGTGGGAACACTTATAATCTCATTGTGATCATATAATTGAATCGGCTGCACCCTTCATGACAACATAAATAAGCATCGTAATCGTCACCAAAACACACATAAAAAATGGGAAGACCAGCACCTATCTCACATGAAAATAAGTTGGTCGGAGGACTTCTCATCTCGACTCTCAGCGAGCAATCAAAAACGATCCAGCATAGAGTTTAAAGATATGTATGCGCAATTAGTTACCGTCTGTTTTCCGACCCTAACGCTCAATCAAGTTGTCGGTCTCCTTCCACCAGAAGTAAGGGAGCCGTGACCTAACACGTAGGCGGTTACGCTCGTTTTCGCCGTCCGGCGTGGGAGCACGCGTTTTGTTCTGGGTATCTGAATGAGAGATGAAATCATCACAAGGTTTCTCGAGTACAGTTTTTAAGAGGTCTATTTATTTGCTATTTTTCAATTTTCAGGATTTTGGCAAATTGCACGGTCGTTGAGTGGAGCTTTTTGAGAGCGCGTCAAAGTGGCTTGTGCTTATGCGCAAACAAGAAGATACCTTCTGACCTTTGGCCCCAGTATTGTAGGGATAGGACTACTTGAATAAAATTGGATGAATCTCGTGCATGGGTTCTACCTTTTCGTGGTGTACAAGCTTGAGGCTTGATTGGAATATTCGGTAAAATAAGGTTGCTCCGGAACCCAACACCGATCGATTCCCGAACCCGCAGCGCCCAGACTCTTGGTGGAACGGCGCTCTCCTTGAGCAACAGGAACGCCCTTGTAAGGCTATCCTGTGGGACGAAAATACCACGACCACTTCTCATGCTCGCCTTAGTCCCCTGCAGGCTGTCCTGCCCAGTCAGGTAGCGCTGGATCAGCACACAGCCAAAGGCGAAGAAATCTCAGGGCCATAGGCTACCAAAGGAGACGGACAACGAGTGAGCCGACAAACTATTTCCTCAACACGTACGTATACATGTTGAGGCATTAGTTGGTCCGCTCAGCTTTCGGCACTTATCAATAAAACGCAACACCACGTAAGTGGCTTGAGTGAAACAAGGAGAGAGCCACCCTCGTGCACGTGAGCAGATAGAACAACAGTGTTTTGGGAGCTCGAGAAGCAAGCTCAACTTTAGGGGACGATGGCTTCATAGTGTCGCCTAGCTTCAGCAAACACGTACATAACGTCCAAGTATAACGTCCCACGCGCAGCAAATCGCAGCCATGATGATTTGTGCGAGCAGTTGCTGAGCTTGTAAGTAGCAAAAGCAGCTAGATCGCGGTATTGGGCGACTTCAACGCTTGAATCGGTTCGCGAAAGTCTTGCGAAGTCTTCTTTGGTCCACATTCTGCAGAGGAGCGTAATGAAGCCGGGGAGAGGCTTTCTGCGAACTACATCACCTCTGTAATGGCAATACCTAATTTTTCAAAGTTCCGCTCAAAAGGTGGACTCACGTATCTCCAAATGGCCTACACCACCACGAACTGGACCACATTCTATGTAGTCGAGAGCTATGACAGATGTCGCACTCGTCCCTTATTTCAACACAGGGAGCGATCATTGTCTAATTCGAGGGCGATACCATTCGATCAAAAACTAGTGCAACTGAGTCGCATACGCTCACGGCTATCGCGCTTCACAGTTTTGGATGAAGGTGCGGCCGCTAAACTCGCAAACGAAGAACTGTTCCCGGCGTTGGATGAGATCAACGCTGACCATGGAAGTCTCGTCAAAACCGTAGCATGAATTGCAGACAGCCGTCGCAGCGTTGCTCCGAATCATGATGCTCGTCGCACCTATGCTTCAACCCATGCTTTGCTCGAGATATGGACCGAACGCTACTGAGTAGATGGCTGATATCTTCTGTAACCTCTCCACGAGGTTGTTAAGTAGACTTTATTGGCTTACCTTTCGGCGGGGTCACTGAGTAGGCTGTATAGGAGACAAATAGCTGAAAATTACCTCAATTCTACGAGATACAGACTCTTGAGCGAGGCAGAAAATAAAAGAAGCTTGAAAAGAACCAGAAGAAAAATTGCGGAACATCGTCTAATAATTCCGTGTTTGAAGAGCATGGTTGGATTACGTTGCTCTTCCATATAAGGAATGACTACTGGCAACCAGGGTCAAAAAAGTGCAGTGTTCTGCAGTGCACATTCACGCTCTAATGTTCTCCAGGAGCTCTGCACCGTGCAGCTGTCGGAGAGTCACACAGACAAGAGCTCCATGGGAGCATTAGAGCATGCAGAGCATTATAAGTCTCACTATCAGCCATTATTATCCTTAATACACGGACGGCGCTTTCGCTCGACAGCATAGATCAAGATTACAATAGCCAAAAACTTTGTTACAGCGTAGTG